ACCCGCACACCCGATTACCTATATATACATGAACGTACGGTTACAGCCCAACAGCTGGCCTCTGTAGCTCAGTTGGTTAGAGCGCTGCACCGGAATCGCAAGGCCGTAGGTTCAATTCCTACCAGAGGACCTTGTGCTGCATTTTTCGCAGTCGTTCCTGGTTAGGTCTTAAAATGTATATATTCTCACTTGGATTACAAACCCTAACATTCTAATATTAATTCCACCAAGTGAAATGCAAGAATCCAAATTATTGAAGTCCACCTTATCACAACCCGCACACCTGATTACCTATATATACATGAACTTACGGTTACAGCTTAACGGCTGGCCTCTGTAGCTCAGTTGGTTAGAGCGCTGCACCGGAATCGCAGGGCCGTAGGTTTGATTCCTACCAGAGGACCTTGTGCTGCATTTTTCGCAGTCGTTCCTGGTTAGGTCTTAAAATGTATATATTCTCACTTGGATTCCAAACCCTAACATTCTAATATTAATTCCACCAAGTGAAGTGCAAGAATCTAAGTCATTAAGTCCACCCAGGGCGAAGGGAGAGAGGGCGTAGAAACGGCCATACATCGAGCGGACCCATCCGTGATGCGAGCTTCGCGGGGGGTAAGACGTTCTAATTGTAAACAAATATGGCTACGCGTATATGACCCATCAGAAGGTATGCTGAAACTATTGCTTTATAAAATATTACTTGTGTAAAATTTATATGTTTTTGTTACTTTCAGCTACTATAAGAAACTTAAAGATAAGATTTAAGTAACAAAAAACTTTATTTCGGGTGTTATTTTATTTATATACTCTGTTTAATTTGTGGTTAAAAATGGCCGTCGAAATGTTGTCCGAGAGTGTTAGCGCGCACTGCTTCCTGATAAAAACCAATGATTTCCAAAACCTAAATTATAATTTGTTATTAAGTTATGATGAAAACCTTTGCGTATACAAAATTATAGAGTGAGCAAACATGAGACAGAGAGGTTTTGAACCTTTCAAAGTTCGAGGTCGAATTGACAGTTGAAATAGTACCAAACTCCAAGCTGAAATGTGCAACTAAATCGTGTATATTTTTGTCAATTTTGTTCGCTGGCTTTGTTAAATTCACTTGCAATGGCTCGACATAAGTTACAACATACAAACTGAGCAGAGCCCATGAAAGAGCTATCCATAGTCCATACCCATACAATCATTCAGCTTCCTTGCTATTTAGAAATTGTTGTACTACAAAACTATATTGACTGAAGTTTTGGAAAAATTTAGCCAACTTTTGAAGGATTTTATTAGGTCCAGTTCACATGAGACTGGAACAAAGTCAATTAACCGGGACCATTTCGTTTTGGTCATTATATTATATATAATAGATGTTTACATGAGGTCTCAAGTCATTCCGCCTGCTGGACCAAGCCGACTGACTCAGACCAGTAGTCCAGTATGAATTCAGACTGGAATGAATGTTGACATTGGAACAATTAAGTGAACAACACATGCTAACAAAAGTCATCTAAAAAAGAAAATTGCCTGGCAAGGGGAATAAATTGAAAATTTTGTGATTTTCATACTGGTCTCATGTAAACATGTTGACATGCAATTTCAATTTTCATTCCAGGTTGGTTTCATCCTGGTCTCATGTAAATAGGGCCTTACAAACTGTGATTCAGTATCATGGGATGAGATTAGGGGCCTGTTTATATGATCTTGGCCAGGCGGGACGGGATGCTTACCGAGATCCCGCTCGTAATACAAATGCTAAAGAGTGTTTATATGATCCCGCCACTTATCCCGCCTAGACTGGATTTCGGCAACAGATGCCGGGATCCTGCCTAAGCGAGATGAAAAATTCCCATATAAAAACACTTCATCCCGCCTAGCCAGGATGAAAAATTCCCATATAAACACTTCATCCCGGTTAGACGGAATGAATTTTTCCCTTTATGACATGCGTAAATGCCTTTATTGCAACAAATATATGACGTCAAGCACCGAATGGTTTCATCCCGGTGTCACAGGAGATTCGCCCCCCCCAGTAGATTCGCCCCCCCCCCCTCTCAAAAGGGGGGCGATATTCCTAGGATATTCGCCTCTCCGGGGCAATGTATTTTGTCCATATATAAACACTAGGCGAGTATCCTGTCTTGGCGGGATGAAAACATCCGTCCCATCTAGGCGGGATCATATAAACAGGCCCTAAGGAATTGAAAGATTTTATAAGCGAGCAATGCTTAAAAGCAGGATTATAAACAATGAAAGAAATGGCACTAACAGAGCCACAACTTCTCCAGAAGTGTAAAATTCCATGATACTGAATCACAGTTTGCAAGTCAATCCTTCAAAATTTAGTTAAATGTTTCCAAAACTTCAGTCAATATAGTTTTGTAGTACACCCATCTTAAGGGTTCCTTTCAGCTTTCACCTTGCCAAGACCTGTCACTAAATTATGGGTTGCCTGAATAGATATAATTCCTCAAATCATGATTGGTCATAATTTTTGAAGTTAATTTGATAGATATTTTTAATTGCATGGATTATTGGGTCATATTTTTCTGCTATTTAGCCTTAATATTGTAGACTTTTTTAGGAAAGGAAGTGCAAACAAGCGCATACAATAGCAATTCTTCTTCAACTATAATGGGCAACAATTTCTAAATAGCAAGGAAGCTGAATGACTGTATGGGTATGGACTATGGATAGCTCTTTCATGGGCTCTGCTCAGTTTGTATGTTGTAACTTTATGTCGAGCCATTGCAAGTGAATTTAACAAAGCCAGCGAACAAAATTGACAAAAATATACACGATTTAATTGCACATTTCAGCTTGGAGTTTGGTACTATTTCAACTGTCAATTCGACCTCGAACTTTGAAGGGTTCAAAACCTATCTGTCTCATGTTTGCTCACTCTATAATTTTGTATACGCAAAGGTTTTCATCATAACTTAATAACAAATTATAATTTAGGTTTTGGAAATCATTGGTTTTTTATCAGGAAGCAGTGCGCGCTAACACTCTCGGACAACATTTCGACCGCCATTTCTAACCACCGAATTAAACAGAGTATATAAATAAAATAACACCCGAAATAAAGTTTTTTGTTACTTAAATCTTATCTTTAAGTTTCTTATAATAGCTGAAAGTTACAAAAACATATAAATTTTACACAAGTAATATTTTATAAAGCAATAGTTTCAGCATACCTTCTGATGGGTCATATACGCGTAGCCATATTTGTTTACAATTAGAACGTCTTACCCCCCGCGAAGCTCGCATCACGGATGGTCCGCTCGATGTATGGCCGTTTCTACGCCCTCTCTCCCTTCGCCCTGGTCCACCTTATCACAACCCGCACACCCGATTACCTATATATACATGAACTTACGGTTATAGCTTAACAGCTGGCCTCTGTAGCTCAGTTGGTTAGAGCGCTGCACCGGAATCGCAGGGCCGTAGGTTCAATTCCTACCAAAGGACCTT